AGGGGAGGGGAGGGACAGGAGGGACAGGAGGGGAGAGGAGGGAGGAGAGAGGAGAGGAGGGAATGGAGGGGGGAAGGAGGGGAGGGGAAGGGGAAGGAGGGAAGGGGAGAGGAGGGAGAAGAGAGGAGAGGAGGGAGGGGAGGGAGGAGAGGGACAGGAGGGGAGGGAGGAGAAGAGAACAGGATTAAAGAAAATTCTGAGCTGGGCACAATGGAGCATATCTCTAATCCCAGCTACTCAGGAGGCTGAAACAAAAGGATCCCAAGTACAACCTAGGCAACTCAATTATACCTTATGGAAAGAAAGATCCTCAATAAACAAAATATGGGGGGCCTGGCCTTAGCTCAGTTGTTTAAGTGGCTGCTTCCACAAAGCTGTCAGCCTCAGGTTGCTGTAGTTCGATCCCCACAACACCCCAGCCAGCCAAGCCACCCCTCAGGGCATTCAGATTAAAAAAAAAACAAACCTCAATAAACAAAATAACACAACAGCAGGGCTGGAGCTCTGGCTCAGTTGCAGAACATTTGACTTCCTGAGTATGTATGAGACCATGGGCTTGATCTGCATCACAGGAAGAAAGGAAGGAGGGAGGGAGGGACGGACGGACGGACAGAGAGAGAGAGAGAACAGCAGGAATTGAAAAAAGCAGTAAAAATATTTAAGGATAAAACTAAAAGAGTATTTTAGAAAATAAAGCAATGCTAGAGATGTTTAAAAATAAGAGAGAACAGGGCTGGGGAGATAGTTCAGTGGAATAAGTGCTTGCTGAGAGAGACAGACAGAGAGAAACAGAACAAAAAAATACGCGTTTGTTTTGTTGCTACTGTTTAAACTGTAGGTCTGAGGGGGGCCTGGGCCTAGCTCAGTCCTTTAAGTGGCTGCTATCACAAAGCTGTCAGCCTCAGGTTGCTGGAGTTCGAACCTCACAACTCTCCCGCTGGCCAAAAGTGCCCTGAAGGCATTCGAGGAACAAAAAAAAAAAAAAAACATTATTCCATTAGGGGGCCTGCCCCTTAGCTCATTTCTTTAAGTGGCTGCTTCAACAAAGCAGTCAGGCTCAGGTTGCTGTGGTTCGATCCCCACAACACAAGACAGCCAGTCATGCCTTGAAGGCATTCGTTGCAAAAAAAAAAAAACCCTTCTGCCATTTTTGGGCTGGTGAGATGGCTCAGTGGTCTAACACACCTACTTAGAACAAGATTAGCAAAGCACAGGGACCCCGGTTCGGTCCCCCAGCACCACATGCCAGCCAGCCCCGCCCCCTGGTGGGCTGAGCTGGCCACACACACACACACACACACACACACAAATAAATAAATAAAATTTAAAAAATAAAAAAATAAAAAAAATAAACTGTAGGTCTGTAATCTATAAATACTATAGATTATACATTTCAAAATGTAAACCAAAGAAAGGTTTGAATAAATAAATAAAAGAATGACCCCAAGAGCAGCTAAAAAGTCAGCTTCCCAGCTCCTTAGCAATTCCACTTCAGCAGAAGGCCCAGGACCTGGAATTTACATTTTTAAATGATGCTGATGCAGGTGGTTCAAAAACCACACCAACAAACCTACCTGAATCGGGAGCATTGCTGGCTTTGGCGCACCACAAACCTGGAGTCAGAACCCCAATTCTCTGGACTCCAGGCTGTGTGAAATCCACTAAGCCTTCTTCACGTGCAAAATGAGGACCATAAACGGCACAAGGTCCAGAGCAGTGGTAGCGAGCCTATGGCATGGGAGCCGCCGCGGGCTGCTTCTTGCCTCTGACAGCTCCGAGGTTCACCGTTCCTGGTCTAGAACCTACTACAGGTCAACACAGGTGGTTGCAACAACAACCAGGGAGTGGAGGTATGGTTCAGTGGCAGATCAGTGGGTCCATAGAACGCATGAAGCCCTAGGATGGATCCCCACTCTCCCCCAAAATTATTACTATTATTGCTTTGGGTGGAATGAGAGTATATTTTCACAGATGTACTAAATTCTTTTCTCTTTTCTTTTTGACAGTGCTGGAGATTGAACCAGGGACTTCAGCATCTGGTCTATTACTGAGCTATGACCCACCTCAGAGAGGCTAGTTTGTCTAATTTTGCAAATTTTCTAGATAACTCTTACTTAGGGAGGAGAGACTGTTGTTTAAAACTTTTTCACAAGTGTTATGATTTGTGCCTAGTTGTGCCCCCAAAGCCTCGAGCAGTCATTGGGGCGGGCTCCTAGAGTTTGACATTAATTCATGATCCAACGCAGGGAATTATGGCTGTGAGTGATGTCCTTGCCCTGGGGCGGGTGACCTGCATGCAATGTAAGGAGCCGAGAGAGGCTCGCTAGCTGCCGCAGCCGCTGCCCCTCCCTTTGCCCTTTGCTGTTTTCCACCTCCATGAGCTGCTGCCCTCTGCCACGGGCCACTCTGCCTTGGAGTCAGCCGGGTATGAACTGAAACCTCCACTAACTGTGAGCTAAATAAACCCTTCCTTCCTTCACTTTGAGTGTCAGGTATTTTGTTCCAGCCACAAAAGTAAAGTAACTGAGACAATAAGCCTTAAACTTTTCACACTTTTTAGCTAAAGGTGAGAGAATGTAAGAGAATCATGCCAAATGGGAGAGTTTTTTAGAATTACACAATACTAGGAGCAACTTAAACTGCCAACCACAGAGGTAAGTTTACATAAACTGGTTTATTTATCAAATAGAATATTGTTCAGCCAATAAATAGGACTTTGTTATGGTTTGTTTATAGGTGTCCCTCCCCCTGAAAGCCTCTTGTAGTCTTGGGGTGGCTTCTGGAGTTGTGGTTGATTATTGTGGGTGTGGATGCTGCCCCTGCCCTGGGGCAGGAAATTTGCATTTCAGTGTAAGGAGCAAAGAGAAGCCAGCTGCTTGAGCTGCTGCTACCCCTCTCCTGTGCTCTTGCTCTTTGCCACCACCATGAAAGGTTGCCCTCTGCCCGTGCCACTCTGCCTTGGAGCCAGCTGAGTATGGACTGAAACTCCAGTAACTGTGAGCTAAATAAACCTTTCCTTCTTTCAATTTGGGTGTTGTCCTCTCTCTCTCTCTCTCTCTCTCTCTCTCTCTCTCTCTCTCTCTGTCACATATGCACTATGAAGGATTTGATCCACATCCCTCAAGCTGTTTTATTGACCCCAGCTGACATTTAAAAAAAAAAATTGTGCCGTTAAAAAAAAAAAAAGATTGCTGGGGCTGGGGAGATGGCTCAGTGGAATAAGCG